CTTTCGTCTTCTCGTACATTATTTTAACTGCCAAAGAGATCTAATTATTCCAACTTCAACAGCACAGTTTCTTTCAAAAGCAGTCAGAAACATCCGTTTTATTGAGATAGCTTGCTCTGACTTTGTTGAATTGCTTAGATGCATATGGGTGTCATTGAGGAGCTCCGGATATCCGTTCTCGAGAAGCGCATCTTCGATTCGCTCGCGTCTCCCTTCATTGGCATCTTCATTGCAGAGTATGTATGTACGGTCTGTTAAGGTGCGCACCAGCGATCTGTTACTGAGGAGAACGAAGCTGTGAATGTTGGTTTCTGTGTGTCCGGTTAGTATGTTCAGCCGCTTGATACTGTGAGCATGCCTTACATATCTTAATCAATTACTTCTTTTGGTACTAATCAATGGAACTAATTATGTCCCCATGTTTGTTGCTCTGTAGGCTTGAATGATAAGAAATTTAAAAAACTTGCAAGGAATCACGGACAATACTATTTTTCAACAAAGTAAATATCCCCATTTCATTAACGTGGATTGAGACCAGTAAACAGGTCATGGTTGAGTATTCTCGGTAAACTCTCTTCAAACGTAAACGTTTGCACAACGCTTATTGGGTGGGAAAAGCGTCAAGACGTGTTGGGATTGAGTTTGAAGCTGTTTGAATGGTCAAAATCGGTGACTTATGACAGCTATAGGTGGATTTGGTAGTGTATTACGAGACTGCAAATCAAACCTCTATAGCTGCACTGAGGTTGTTGCCTAGTTTGACAACGAAACGACTGCACCGAAATTGCCCAATCCGGAGAACACAACAATCCTCTCATCCACATCGCGAGCTACAGGTTTTCTCAATAATTTCTAAAGAAACATTACTACATAAATTTCGGCAGTCTAAAGTAAACTGTTAATGTAAAAATAGAATAAATGGGTGAAGATGTCACTTGGCCACGGTATTAGTATCGGTCGTATGAATGGTTTTTGGATACACAATCCCGCAATCAGATGGTATATGTAAATAACATAGGCACAAGACAAGAGTTGTTTTCGAAATCGTTGCGAGCAACGTTCAGGTAGTTAGTAGATTATGTTGTAGACATTCCCGGCAGCTGTATGGTTACACGACATGATTAAGCTGTTTGAGGACATCATTGCTCTTTTGTAAAACCAAGCCGGGATGTGCTCGTGCATCCTCTGAGATAGGCATCTTGTAGAACGACCCAAGTATCACGACGCACCACAAGAGCACGAGCAGTGATGACGATCAAAGAACGGGTCAGTGAGGGCAGTCTATCTATCAGGGATTTTGCAAAGATGGTTTGTTATGCCAAACAATTCTCAAGCGGGCTGCGAAATGAGTTTGCGCAACAACATCTTTCAGATGTAGAAATAACATATAAGCTTCAGAATCGCCTGTGAATGGTAAATGCATGTAAAGCACTTTCTTTGGAACAATGCTGCTAGGTGGCTTTCGATTTCGTTCAGTTTTAGCTTGTCATCTTTGTCGTTATTTCTGGGATCGACGACTTTGGCCATCTAACAGATTCGTAAATATGAATAAAATTTTGAGGATGAAATGTTAGTGACTAAATGCATGAAATCGAACGTAACATTGTCGATGCCTCCACTACTGCATATTGTCAGATATGGTCTCTAACGGTAGATGTGACCCACGCACGAAGTCGGCTCGTCGATCTTTCATATCTTCATGCCACGTCATCGACTGGCCTTTTGTTGATCTAATCAACCTATTCTCAACAGTTTAATATTTCTTCTAGACTCATCAAGTAGAAATAGCCAAATTCCACCCCGAGCTCGGGTATCTTCACCTGATTTGAAAGACTGCTAATCGTAACACCGGAACTCTTCTGGGTAATCGATTTCGCGAAAGGGAATGTTCTGAGGAGCTCACTGTTATTAATGATCCCGTGGAGACCGTGTAAAATATGCTGCGCAGATTGATTATACCTGTCTTCGAGTAAGTAGTATCTTCAGCCTAATGAAAAGCAACGTCTTCCAGGATGACTGGCTATAACTCTCCTATTCTCACCCTGTGACAAAAGCTCGGGAGTGCCCAGAAAGTTGGATTAGATCAAGTGCTGCATATACATTTACCATGCAGATTTGTGGTTTACAAAATGAATTCAGTTTGTGGTTAGCTAAACAGGAAATAAGTTATGGCACAACATCCAACATCTGTAGAGATTCGTTTATATTCAACTCAGTCTTACGTATGCTTCCTTGCAGAAGAGCACCTAATGGGCCGTAAGCCTGCTGAGAGCGATCAGAAGCACGTAAGTCTTCCGAGCCACGTGTAGCCAGATGCCAAGTCCATCCACTTACCCGACATTGAGTTGGGGACTTAAGGTCGTACTGGCTGCTGTAAAACTACAACATGGTCGCGAACAATCATTTTGTAGGAGCTTTTACACGAGATGACACACACTGCATAAAGTTAAGTATTGACGCAATGCAATAAGTTCAAATGAGCAAATTTGTCCTCAATTTGTGCCTTTTTAAATCCTCCCCATCAGATTAAGCTGAATAGTTCTCACGTTTCATTTTTATTTTCCACAAAGCGCCACAATGCCTACATGCAGTATCAGATGACGGTCGATCAGTTGAATGACAAACACAGGGAAGAACATGAGTTCAGTAAAATCTGTGCAAAACGAATGATTCAGGCAGAGTATTACGCGAACGCGTTTGTGGACGATTTTGAAGGGGATACTTTGTATCAGTCAATCATGGACGCCGATCCAGATGGAGCACGATTCATGCATCTACCACTCGTTGTAGAGGTTGTGGAGCAATATCCTTTTTGTTCGCTTCCTTTCAACAGGCAACTCAGAACTCATATACATTGGTCATCAATACTGGCTAGTCTCATGCTAGACAGGCATAATTCGCATTATTTTCTTATTATGAGTACGATTCCTAAGGTTAGGACAATAGATTGAATACCTTTACATCGGATATAATTTATCCTCTAAATATGAAAATATGCATAATATTTTAAATACCATTCCCCTTGTACAATGAACCATTGAATGATTGACTACCAAGACACAAGCTAGCAAGATTAGTTTCTTGTCCAAGGTTATGCCACCGTGGTTAACTCTAGTAGTAGACAGGTTAAGTTATCAGTTGTAGGTACATGGGTCCCAATTCCACAGCATATATTCATCGGTGCTTGTATATGAAAACACTTCACTCAGCCATATGTTTTCTTTAAAGCTAGTCGCAGCTGCACTTCTCGTGTTTAAGCATTATTCTAAACCGGCTTATTGCAGTTATGCAGGAAAATTGGCAATTCTTTACTCGATCTGGTATGTAAAAGAAACTCGTTTTTCGGATCTACTATGTAACGCGAGTTGCCAGTCGGTGGATTTTATCGCTCTGTGCATTTGGCAGTTTAGCTGCAGTTGCTTCGTTGCTGGACTTGGCGACATCGCCAATTAGTTTTGTCTTGAACAGGTCGCAGAACTTTGAATGTCACTTCCAGTTACAAGTGGCTATTGGATGATTCCTCTCCTGAACATAAATTCAAGTAAACTCCGGTCCGTTGGCCCAGTAATCAACTTTTTCGGGTTGACTTAAGGTGGATTACTCTCTTAGTCCCCAGTGTTTTATAGGCGCTTTCTAGCTCCAAGCGTTTATTGATTACCTTCTGACCTGACTGTCTGAAGTAGATGAGGCTATACCCTTTGGAGCTGCTTGTTATTCCAATTATCCTGACATTCTCCTAATGGAATTGTTGGCTTTTAGCATCTATAAGCACTGACAGTGGCGATTTATCATCATACCGAGGGATGACCAGGTAAAGACTTGTGCATCCAATGAGCTATTTTCCCCAAACGCTAGTTATAAAACATACCAAAAAAAGATTTACAGTTATCCTGAATATTAACTAATGAAGAAGCGTTAGAAGACATATATTTGGGTTGTACCACGGACAGGATATTGGGCATGCACGTGGGATAATATTTTTCTTACCACATAAAGTCAGCACAGTTCCTCATTTTATACATGTTAGCTGCAGGTGGAAAACACCGCAGCTATGGTGACGCAGTACAAAAGACAAAAAAACGAGAACAAACAGTGGCACGCCGGCTGAGTCCCCGGTAACGGATGGACATAGTTCCGGAGAACTAACAGCCGTCTAACTTACCGTAAAAAGAGAGTCATATTATGCCTAACGAGTGAAATCGTGAGTGAAGGGGGATGCTAAGCAAGAGGGGGATAAACAAAGGAAGTCACAACACAAACACCATTGGGACCGGCTGCTAGCCATATTAGCGAGTGTGTCCAAGCAAACGTGTTCACCGTCCTTAGGATCTCAGCCAGGCAGTCGGGTGCACCAACCGACTCCAACTTCGAAGTGAGGGTTTTCATCTCTCTCTACCAAGTCGTCGCTTGGCCTCCACTCCTCCTCTTCCAACCGCAGCCACAACGGCTAAACAATGCACGTCGCGGAAATCGATGTGCTGGCGTGCGCATTACGTGGCCCAACCATCGGAGCCTGGTGCGTAATATAATGGTGCGGAGCGGTTCACTCGCTCTTCCTGCACCAGATACGCGACACCGAACACGTTCATTGCTCATGAGGTTCTCCCATCAGACATGAGCTAAGCTGCGAAGGCAGCGATGATCGAATACGACGAGCCTCTTTATGTCTGTCGACCTGATGGACCAGGTTTAACAAGCATATAGGAGAGTTGAACGGACGGCTGCGTTGTAAACTCTGCCCTTCAGAGCGAGAGTAATGTCGAGTCTGCGCCACAGATGCCGGAGATTGGTAAAAGCACCTCGAGCTTTGCTATACGGTTCGTAACCTCATCTTCAATCCCACGGGTGCTAATATAACTGTCCAGGTACTTGAATTCCTGAACGACTTCTAGCAGATCACCACAAAGCGTTAGCGCAGTGTTGGGTCCCTGCCAATGTTGGAGAAGTACTTTGCATTTCGATGGAGCAAAGCATAGCCCAAAACGATTGACAGCCAATGGTAATCGGTCCAGTGCAGCCTGGCAACTTTGGGCGCTGTCACAGATTAGGGCAATATCGTCCGCATACTCCAAGTCAAGAAGTCGCTCACCAGGAAATAGCTCCACATCTACTTGGTCCTGTCCAGTGAACGCTGTTTCCATGACTTCATCAATATCAATGTTAAAAAGCAAAGGTGACAGCCGGCAACCTTGTCTTACACCGCTGGTGATACTGAAGGGTGGCGAGAGTTTGCCTTAAACCCTCACCCTGCCCGAACTATGCGCGTACAGCGCTTTGATAATATTTACATATTTATCAGGCACACCTTTCCTCAGCAGACAGTCCTAAACGGCACGTCGATTGACTGAGTCGAAGGCACCTTTTATGTCAAGAAACACGACAACAGTGGGTCGCCAATAAACATGGCGGTGCTCCAACACTTGACGCAAGGTGAAGATGTGGTCGATGCCCCGACCTCGACGAAATTCGGCTTGCTCTTCACGAATCTGGCTTTTAGGAGTGCCAGGCAGTCTGTGGAGAATGACAGAGGCAAGCAATTTAGAGGCAGTCGAAATCAGACTGATCCCTCCATGATTGTCGCATTCCAAACGGGAGCCTCCCTTGAAAATTGGTACAATGACGGAGCGGCTCCAGTCTGTCGGGACAGTTTCCTGCTCCCAAAGTTCCACTAGCAGCTCGTGCAAACCATCCACAAAAGCAGATCCCTTGAATTTGTAGAGGGCTGAGGGATTCTAACTGCCCCCGTGGCCTTATGCAATTTCAACAGCCTGATCTCACGTTCGACTTCTGCGCGTGAAAGCGGATTAAGAAAGCGGCCCAGGGAAAACGGCACTCAATGCCCGAAAAAGAAACCGATAACTCAGGTTTGTTAAATTGTCTTCCAAGTGTTCGGCCCAACGCTCCAAGCGTTTTGACAGGCTATAGATCAGGCTGCCCACCCTCGTCGCGTATGGTTTCGCCAACATCAGGTCTCTTGTTGCCTGTTTCCCGTATCAGACGGAATAACTTACAAGGATTGTCAAGGGTAGCGGCTGTTTCTATCTCAGAGGCCCGATTACACCACCGGGTTTCGCGGTCTTGCTTCAGGCTAGTACGTAGTTTTGCCCTAAGATGTTTGTGAGCCTCATTGTATGCACTTCCATCCGGAATACGTCGGCGAGCATCCATAAATTCCATAGACTGTGTAGTGACCTAATGTCCGGTTTGGCAATTTGCTTTGCCACATGAAGACATGCCTGCTAACAGTAACGTTTTTAAGAATATGCGCCCAGTGATCTACGACGGTGTTTAGTGGGCGCTTACTCAGCCCGAATGTCAGCGCACTTTGATACACATTCAGAACATCTGGCTTCGCCAGTTGGCTCGTGTAACTCCGTTCACATCAAGGTGGCGGACGTCCACCGAAACGCACCCGGAGGTCGGCACAGACAAGTGCGTGGTCAGAGTCCACGCTCATGCTCCAAATCGAGCGACAGTTTTGGACACAGCCTCTCCAGCGATAAATGATTGCGATACGATCGATTTTCGTCCATGGCTGGCCCGAGGCTGGTGGCCACCAAGTCACGATTTTGCGGGTGCTGTGTCGAAAGTTAGTGCTCGCGAAAAAGAGGCGAGCATCTTCACACAGCTGTAGCAATCGCTCACCGTTACCATTACGGGAGCCTACACCATGTTGGCCACCCAGATGAAACTCATCAGAGGACAATTTTCCGACTTGGGCGTTTAGATGGCCAGCCAACACCACAGTATCCGTGCTTCTTCTGTAACGAAGGAGCTCGTGAAGTTGCTGATAGAAATCATCTTTTACCGAATCAGTGCTACAGTTTGTAGGGGCGTAGACCGCAATGACAAACAGGCACCGTTTGTCCTCGCGCGACTTCGTAGCACGGAACGAACCAGCTAATCTAACGGCGCACATCCTACTGTTTACTGGGATCCAGTCGATCAGGGCAGCTTCAGCCCGGGGACTAAAAACAATGCCGACGCCAGCTTGACCGGCATTTGAAGCTGCATCATCGCCAGACAGGCGCAATGAGAATGTTCCGCCAGTGTCGCATGTGGGGGATCGCAGGGTAACCACGGAGTTCGAAACTTGCAGGCGGGTTTCTGATAAACAGCAAATATCGATCAATAGGGTCTCTAGTGTGCGGGCAAGTGCTGCTGGTTGGCCAATCTGCAGCAAAGTGCGCACGTTGAGAGATGCCAGTCATAGCAAGAAGCGAGGACTCCAAATGGAAACGAATGAACTGACGTTGTCCGCTTGGTTGAACATGGACTTGTCGACAGGATTGGTGCGACGCCCTGCGACTGTGTATGATTTGAAACTAGAAGACAAGCGACTATGTAAGCAAGCTGGGGGAGGGCCAAGAAATTGGGGGATGGAAAATAGAAGGGATAAAAGTAAAGTTGGAGCAGGACGATAGGGATGAAAAAGAGCAAGAATGAGTATAAGAAGACGGGAAGGCCTGAGTAGTAGCATCCATACCCCTATCCACCCTGCTCGATGCAGCAGATAGGGCGCCGTTTATTATACCCTGCGACGGCCAAAACATCAAGAAATTGTTTGACGAAGGGTTCATTGTATTGCGTGGGCAGAATACTGTCAGGTTGACCAGGCATAGACAGGAGAACGATTAGGGTACTCAACCAAAGCCTTTGATTCAAAAACATTACGGCAAGGCAGCGGGTTTTGGCATTGGACTACAGAGAGCCCGTTTTATGAAATAAGGAGGCACCCTCATTCCAACCAACAAGCTGGAGGACCAGGAGGCTGAGTTCGTCTGGCCTCTAACCATTGACCAATCTGGTATGAGTGGCTCTGAAGGTGCAATCAAAGCACCACCCAGCATAGCTCAATCGATCTCTGAGGCACGCAAACCATCGCAGCACGGTAAGGTTCAGCCTCTATGCGATGGCACAGTTCCACTCTATGATGAACAATAAACAATGCATATATACGGGTTAAGAAGCTTTGCTTTACTAGTCCCGTTGGATAGTTGGTAGGGATATCGAAATAATAATAATAATAATAATAATAACACATTTACTACATTAAATAGGAAAATAAGAACTTAATGTTTACTCCGCTGTAGTCCAGCAATCCACTTAGATTCACAGCAACCACAGTTAAGTTCAAATAATTCCATGGTTAATTACAGGTGTAGGATAGAGACGTAGCGCTAAGTGACAAAGTGTAAGTGGATGTGTGCGTTCTTCAACCGTCCTTAAAATACTGTTAGTATCAGTGTAGCGACGATCGATTCTGGGAAAGCATTCCAGGAGTGACAGACACGAATGGAAAAGAAATTACTGCGGCACTTCAGGCGGCTATACTGTACAGCGAGTTTCAATGGGTGGCCCATCAGGGTTGTATTGGTGCTGAGTCGCAATAAAGGGGGCACATATAATGTGGGTCGCGCAGAATCAAGTAGGCCTCGTAGTCTCCGATAGCTTCCGCTGAATACCTCCAATCGTTGAAGCCCCTTCTCTTATGAATGCGCATTCCAATTACCTTCTACGATGCCCGAGGTTGTGGCTGCTCCAGTGCATTAAGGTCGTGTTTCAGCCATGCATGCTAGGCTTGAATTGCTTCGTTGGCATGGGGCAAACATACGCACTGAGCAGATGTCGAAAAATAAAGCTGTCTATTTGTCTAAACCCCCGTCGCAACAGCCCGACATGTAGGTTCACAGTCTTCCAGGCCTTTTCGGATTGCCTGGAGTAACCCAAGTCATCTTGAACCAAGACACCCAAGTCACGTTCGACAGCTGATTGTTGCAGTATATTCCTTCTGAGCCGGTATCAGTAGCTTCGCTGATGTCGGATGGGGAGTACCTTGCATTTGTCCATCTTGAGATGCAGTAAGTTATGGGTTGACAATTGATACACTGTATCTAGGTCACGCTGAAACAGATGCTGGTCGGTGTTTGCCTGGATCCTGCTCCAAATCTTGATATCGTCGGCAAACACTAGGAAGTTTGATGCAATTGCCTATGCAAAGCCATTATTAAACACCAAAAACAAAAGTGGACCAAGTCTTACAGCACACCAAACTCGACTTGTATGGGGTCCCATAAAGAGCTCCGAATCCTGACTACTAATTGCCGTTGAGGTAGAATGTCGGCAATCTAGTTTAAAACGGGGTCGCAGATCCCGTAATGTCGGAGCTTGGAGAGCAGTATCCGATGTTCTAGACGATCGAAAACCTTCAATAAATCCAGTTAGATCACATTAACACCTTCTCCAGCGTCAACTGACTCCGTCGTGATGCTCTATTTGTGTGCGAGGTGCCCACTAATTGGTAAAGTGGGTGATTAAGCACTTTAATTTCGACACTGATGTCTCTCGATTCAGGCAAACAGTTGCATTATTTCATCATGATGCTGAGAACATAAATACTGAGCCATCAATGTCAGTTCAAGTACTACAATCATATACTGGTACCCGTCAGTGTTACTTGGTGCTCTAACGTGCAGTAAGCACCTCAGCATAGGAAGTCACGTGGATGAAATACCCGATGCGTCATTATGTGGCCTAGTTTAGACCAAAGATACGACTGCGTGTACAGCCCCAGGCTCTTGCTTCAGTCTTCGTGCAATATACCCCTTAAACCGAGGAACACCAATGAATCAATGAAGATGAGCCTGTTATCCTTAGGACGAACACGTTCTTGTTTTACACCTCGCCATAGGTGCTATATGAAATCGACAAATAACACATGTTGTCTGCGTTCTTCAGTGTGAAGATGATGTACTTGTTACGTGCAGCGCGACTTATACCGATACCAGTAGTCCATCTTGGTCGACAGCACCCAGAGCAATAGAAAACTTTTCAAATCGCTTAACGAAGCATAGTGCGTAGTAACAGAATAGTATGTTGTTTTTCATGCAAATAGGTTTTGATCGCGGCCCAGACTCCTATTTTGCTCGGCAGATTGCCTTGAATGAACTGCGGCACATCGCAACGAACTTCGATTGAATCCCAGATGGAGCTATGAACACTCATATTTAGACGACGCTGATGCGAGTTACCCATCCGGCACAGAAGAGAGACACCAATTCCATAATCTGGGCACATGCGATCCGGATGCTTGAATATCTTTGAAAAGTCCAGAGAAACTGCTTCAACTGCTTCTCCATGCCTCGCGTAATTGTTTCTCCTATTTATTTTCGGTTGAGGGAATACACCACTCCAACAAAGCTGAAGCAAATTAAACTATCAAACTTCTTGTTCTAGACATTTAGTCATTGCTGACGAAAAGATGGTGGTTACTAGGAAAGGTTGAAACACTAAAAATCACTTATTTCGTTAACATTTGCATCGCATTGATTCTAATGCGCCGTGACACGTATCGAGACAAACTGGCTGACAGTTCGAGAACCATTTTCCAATTTGGACTGGAGGAGTACGCTAAACGGCAACAGGAGGAGGGCTGTCTGCGTCAGGTACTCTGCGAAGTCAAGGATGCCGATCGGGAGGCTGGAATACAGCTCATAAATGAATTCCAAGAAATCAAGAAAAAGGTTGGTGATCATCTTATGCTTAACCGACAGACAAACCTGAATTTGTGCCCAGTTAAAATCTTAAGTAGAAAAAATAGAACACAAATGCACGTAATAAGGCGTGTTCGTTTATAATACATATTTTAACGTCGAGAGCAGTGAAACTCTATGTGTATTCTTGAAACTGCAGTGACTTCGTCTTTAAACAAAAAAGTTAACCACACACTCGTACACCAATAATAAAAGTGCAAAAGTCATAACGAGTAATCCACAGTAATCTGATCATCATATTTTGGACCCAGTGTTAACAAGGATAGAAAATGTTACCCACGCTACATAGTGATGTATTTTAACCACATGCTAAATACTTTATTATTATGTATTACTTGGTATCCTGGTGCTTGACTGTCGCTAGCAACGGTTAACGTGCTAGATGATTATTCGAAACGGTGTCCAAATTTATTAACATGCATTATACAAAAGCCGAGAATGCGCAGGCTAGCTATTGTCTTTCGTTTTCATATTCACAGTGCCAACCAAAGCAAAAAAAGCTGGGTAGAAGTACTTGATATTTCCACGCCTAACTGCAATAAAATCATCAGTATATGCTTATAAGTAACAGGTTGGATTCAGCAAATTTTTAACAGATATAGTTTGCGTAAATTTATGTCTAGCTACTAGGATCAACTGCAGCTGATTGAGCGCTCTGGGTTTGATTATATATCTGTATGAAATTGGCTACAGCAGAAACATGTCCCAGCTTCGAGTATCTCACTTACTGCTCTTTGTACCCAGCATTATGTAGGACCCCGCTTTATGCTCTAACTTAATCGTTGTGATTACATTTATAGTTATTATTATTCCAGTTCCGAGTTACTCACCAAAGACTAAAGAACTACTTTCACAAGTGCGGCTTTTGCCAATGAGGTTATCGCAGATATACTTCCTCCTACGAAGAGGCACACTGACACCTGCCAGTTGTTAGCTATAATTATCTAAAAGTCGGAACACAAAATTAATCCGTACTAGGCAATAATTTGAAGTGCCGAAAAGAACACTCAATTTTCTCCTGCTTGTCATTTGTCGAGCTGTCTATGATAATTAGACTGAACTTGATTCCAGTATATGAAAAATATGCCAGATGTGACTATTACATAAACTAACTATTCTGAATCTCCACCAGTTGTAATCCGGTTCCTTAACTTCTGCGCCATTTGAGCGCTTGCACTCAGATGGAGCCAGCCATCAATACTCCCAATGCGCCAATCACTGAATTAATCATAATAAGCTCCGTGAAAGCATTAGCTGAGCCAGTACTGTTCTCTTACTTTGTCAACTGCTCCTATCTTGGGAGCGAGTCTATCTTGAGAAGCCTTAGCTCCCTCTGTTGTTTTCCTTACATCCCTTAGTCATTGGCTCGTCTAGAAAGCATTCCAGAAACACAGACTAGTATAATAGAGGATATTTTGGCTGGATATCGAGCACAAATCCATGAACTTTGGCATCAGCTAATGGCAAACGAAATGGTCATTGCGGAACAAATAGAGGAAGTGTGTACAGAATTTGGAAGAAATATAAAAGAAATGGTCACCTACTTTCTAGAAAACATTCAGGTAAGCGTGATAACATTGATATCGTTGTATGTTATTTTGCAAGTTAAGTGGCATCTCGACTCAGTTATTCCACCTAACTTGGACGGAGCAACCCATCCAATGGGGTTACGTCAAGCGGTGCTTCTTTGGTTTCCTTTCCTACAAAACCGAGCATCCTTACTTAAGCAGATTACAGTCAGAAGGTAGAAAAGTTTTAGTTTGGGAAACTATTTTTATTTTAAAAGGCTTTAATCAATGAACAAACCCCAGGTTTCCTCTGCATGCACACAAACATCGACTATGAGGGGATGAGACCGAATCGACCCGGCGGCACATATTCCACAGTCAATGATTATTATCCTACCTGTGGTCAGGGGAATGCTGCTGAATGTTCTCGGATTTCTATTTTTTTTTAAGCGCACCACTGTCTGTATTTCTCCTATGTGCTGCCACTGTAGTGGGGAATGGTCGTCAATATGCAGCGCCACAGGCGTTTCTAAATGGCCCAGTGATCATTCCTTTTTCTTGTAAAAACTGAGTTACATGGTATTGTTGAAAATCAGTTCATAAGCAACGAGGCTGAAAGTCAGTTTGAAGTACACGTTGTGTTGGATAAACGCTCACTGGATGCAATTGAAGTTCACTGGTCTCATATTCACCAGACCTTACTAGCGGCAGGAAAATCCTCATGTGGTATGTCAAATCATCAACATGGACATTGGGTCTCTTCACAGTCTCTGGAATTTATGGATGCTCGCCGGCATATTCCGGCTGAAAACGAACACAGTGAAACTCGCAAAGAGCCTCGGGCAAGATTCCGTGCTAGCCTGAAGAGAGACCGCGAATCCTGGTGGCCTAATCGTGCAACTGAGATGGAAATGGCCGTTGCCCTTGGCAACCATCGTAAGTTATTCCGCCTGATACGGAAAACGGGCAGCAGGAGACCTGATGTTAGTGAAACTATACGAGACGAGAGTGGACAGTCTATCCACAACTTATCAAAACGCTTAGAGCGTTGGGATGAGCACTTTAAAAGGCAATTTAATCGGTCGGATTGGTTAGATTTCTCGCCAGCCCCTGATCGACCCGCTCCTTGGGATGTCCCTTTGCATCCACCCTCTCGCTCAGAAGTCGAACGTGAGATCGAATTGTTAAAGTTAACTAAAGCCGCGGGACCTGATGACCTTCCTCCAGCACTCTTCAAATTCGGGGGACCTGTTCTTGTGGATGATTTACACGAGTTACCAGTGAAACTGTGGGAGCAAGAAACTGTCCCATCCGATTGGAGTCGCTTCGTCATAGTCCCAATTTTCAAGGGAGGCTCACGATTGGAATGGGGTAACAATAGAGGAATAAGTCTGATCTCCATCGCCTCCAAATTGCCTGCCTCTGTCATCCTTCACAGACTGACTGGCACTTGTGAAAGCCAGATTCGTGAAGAGCAAGCTGGATTTCGTCGAGGTCGTAGCTGCATTGACCACATATTCACCTTGCGTCAGTTGTTGGAGCACCATCGCATATATTGGCGGCCCACCGTTGTCGCGTCCACGATATCAAAGGTGCATTCGATTCGGTGGATAGACATACACTTTGGGACTGTCTACTCAGGAAAGGTGTACCTGAGAAATATGTGAATATTATCCGAACATTATATGCGCGTAGCTCGGACGGAGTGAGGGCTTACGGCAAGTTGTCGTCGCCCCTTAATATCTCCACCGGTGTGAGACAAGGATGCCCGCTGTCACCTTCCCTCTTCAACTTCGCTTTTGAGGAAGTCATGGAAATCGCGTTCACAGGACACGACCTTGAAAGTGTTGGTCTGCTCCCAGGAAAATGACTTCTTGCCTTAGAGTATGCTGATGATATTGCCCTAATCTGTGACAACTCACAAACCTGTCAAGTGGCACTGGATAGATTAGCACTAGCTGTCCGTCACTCCGGGCTTTGCTTCGCACCCTCGAAGTGCAAAGCGTTTCTCCAAGGTTGGTCTGGACCGCCTCCTACGCTGACCGTTGGTGGTGATCAGCTAGAAGTCGTTCAAAATCCAACTACATGGGCAGTTGTATCAGCGCGCGTGGGATTGAAGATGAGATCACGAACCGTATAGCAAAAGCTCGGGGTGCTATTGCTAACTTTCGCCACTTATGGAGCCGGTGCGATATCACTCATGCTCAGAAGGGTAGAGTGTACAATGCAACGGTACGTTCGACCCTATTGTACGGTTGTGAAACCTGGCCGCTTAAACCAGCGGACTTGAAAAGGCTAGTTACGTTCGACCACCGGCGCCTTCGTAATTTAGTTCACATCTGGTGGGAACACCGCGTGAGTAACGAGCGTGTTCGGTGCCTTGTTTACGGCACAGGAAAAGAAAATGAACTGCTCAGCACCGTCGTTACACGCGCCAGAATCCGATGGCTCGGCCACGTATTACGCATGCCAGCTCACCGACTCCCGCGACGTGCGTTGTTTGCGCGCCGCAGGTGTAGATGGAAGAAGAGGAGGGTGTCCAAGCGATGAGTTAGTCGAGAGGAATGAAAGTCCTCACTTCTGAGCTGGCCTCGGTTGGAGCGTCTCGGTTGGTTGGCGTGGGTCCGAAAAATGATGAACACGTTTGGTTGGACACAATTGCTGATATAGCTAGAAGCCGACCTCAGTGGTGTTCGTGCTGTGAGTTTCTTTGTCCCACCCCATCCCTCTTAGCCTCCCCCTCCAATCACGATATCATTATTTAGCCTTATATAATTTTGCATAGCAATTTTTTATGCACAGTAGCCGGCTGGTAGCTTGCCGGAACGATGCCCATCAGTTACCGGTAGCTCAGTCGGCTTGCACCAGTTGCACTTTTTCGCTTCTTTTCTATGTATTGCGGCACAGTAGCTGAGGTGTTCCCCACCTCTAGCTAACGTGTATGATGATTGTGACACGTTGTGTAGATGGATTACGACGCACAATCTCAATGTTGACCGCGATTCCCATTGAAATGGACCTTGGTCTTGCGATCACGAGGACGGTAGCTGACGCAAATAGAACATGGGTGTTGCCCGCCTGAAAACACTGCCCTACTTTGACGCGTTTCGATGGTATTACATCTCATCAGGTTAAGTTCATAAAGAAGACATCAAAAGTAGGGACTGACGGAAAAGCTCGTTTTAAGTGACGCACCACCAAGCTAGTGCACTACAGCTGAGGGAGCTAGAAAGTACCCATGAAAACTAACTGTAAAATGGCAGTGGATCAAAACGTTCGATCGATATAACCGCGGCGGGGGTCTGGCAGAGCTCAATTCAGGGGAAGTAGCGTTACCAAAATCAGTGGTTGTAGTGGTCTACATCCAAGTTAAGCTGTGGATTTGAGCAAATTTCTTCCGTGTGCACAAGGCGACGTTTGGAGGAAAGCAATATTCCCTTATGCTGTCGACATCAGGTGACATCTGACCGCTCTTGTGTGGCGTTCGAAAAGAAAGAATGTAGACTGGGTGGCGTAATGCCACCAGAGTTTGTGAACCGAACCAAACAAAATCCGATTAAATTGCACTCGCCGTAATTTTCCAAAGCTACAGTATCTTTCTACACAGTGTTCTCAAGCTCTGCCGGACAGTTGCCTGGATGCATGGTGCTGTTAGTGCACCTGTGTTCAAATGAAAAAGGCTGGTTTAGTGTTTTCATCAATAGCTTAGCGTAGATTTTCCCAGGTAACGGATTGTCTAATGCATGCGTCATGCATGCGCAGAGTGAGTCTCACGCAGAACACTACGGAATACCGTACGGAAGCAGCAACAAGAGATTACTGTGTGCTTGATTCTAAAATACCTGAGGTACAACAACCTAGTGTGTTGGGGAGTACTCCTCATACTCCATAGCGGCAAAGAGCTTGTCAAGGGATTTCTTGAATTCCGACACGGGCTGAGTAGCATTCAGTCAAAATATAACAACGAATGCCAAAAACAAAAATGACTGCAGAATCTACTGCCATTTTAGAAGTACAAAAGTGGTGCAAGTTGGAGAAATAAAAAGGACAAATAAGTGAAAGTGTAACCAAACACAGCGTGAAGGATAGAAGAAGCAACACAGTCCTTCAGTGGGTAGTTTATCACTCCGATGCAGGGTATTGGATGCTCGAACGTCGCTGTCATTCATATTGCAGTTTGACTAATCACAATGGTTAACTTTTTGCGTTCCACTCCTGCAGGTCTGTGTTGCAGTCATCAAGTTTAGCTCCTATTAGCTAGTAGTTTGGGAACGGCGTATTGGTATGAGCTGCAATCAGATATATATGACAAAAATCTAGTCCGGAGTGACCACATTAGGAGGTGGGAAGTGTCAATCTGGCAATTCCATCCATTTTGATCACCCAATCGTCAAAACTATGCGTGATATTGATTCCCATAATTGGAGTCAGTGCTTTTTACTTGTCACTGTGGGACAAAGCTGGTGCTATGTTGCTTACCAAAATATTTGCCTACAAAATGTAATAACTTGCTAACCAGTTTTCCCAGTCGAACAGAAGCATTTGCATTTTGACATAATGTACCCGATATCTGACCCATTCTGATTGACAGTTTATAAAAAGAGCAAATGGGACTCAGCACTTGCTGACCCTCTATAGTGTAGAACCAATATAGTTTGTCTAAAAGATACACTGCTCAGTGAAACACAATTATCGCCGACGTTAGATGCACTGATTATATGCAACGTATTGTGACCAGGCCTAAAACGCCGACAGTACACAGCTTGAGAATTAAAGTGCGCCCTTTTTCTACCTGTGATATTTCCTTCACATGTAAATCTATGTGAGTTAATAAAGTCATCTAAATACCAACAGTAAAAGCTTTGTTACAATTACTGGTTTGCCTACAGGATTAGTTAAACTACCCATGGAATGAATGACATGAAAAACACGAACTTATTTTCAGCAACACATGGTAATAATAGTGTTCACCTTGTCGATTATTGATAGTGTTATATTTCTTTATTTCAACTCATATATGTTCTTCGTTTTATAAATAACAATAAGTATATCGA